TGTATTTTATGTTTAGCTTTGTGTGTGTTATGTAGAGTGTGAGAGAGAGAGAGAGAGAGAGAGAGATAGAGAGAGAGCCCCCAATGTAGGGAAGAAGGCTCAGTTACAAGGAATGGGATGCCAAACTCAGAATATGGCCCACACCACGGCTCCAGGTGCATCTCACTTGGTCAACAAAGTGTTTCTGGGAGCACAGCTCATCAATGTAGCACAGGACTCCTGCATCTGAGTAGAAGTCATCTTCCTCCTGCTCTGGCTCACTGTTCTCTTCTTCCTCTTTTTCTGTGGGCTCTCCTGTGTATGACTATGGAAGCCTCTCTAGCCAGTCCATAATATCTATGTACTCCTGCACGGCTTCAGGTAGAATTTCCATGGGTGCCTCAGTCTTTTGTAATTGCCTGTGTCTGAATACTGGGAGGCGTGCAGGGTCAGTCTTGGAACCAATCTTCATGGAGTTGCATGCTAGGAGATAGGAGAACATGATGATACATAGATATGGTTTAGTTCCACCCTAATCATGCCATGTAAACCATAGTTCAGAGGAACCACAATGGCCTAGGGCAATCCAAACCCAAAGATCTGTGAGAGGGGACATTGCAAAGGGTTGATATGTCTAGGACAGTAATGTTCGAGAGTATTTGGAGCGACCAATTTTTCAGGTATGCTCCAAACTCAATGGCCAGGTCCTGATCATAAGGTGTTTTTGTCCTTATAGAGTAAGGACAGAGATAATCAATGATGGTGACCAGCTCAATGATTACCCAGTTCAAGACTAAGTGCTGCAAGGTCCCCCAGGCTACATAGAAAATGCCCTAACCTGAAGGAAGAAGCCTATGTTTAAGGCAAAAACACATTTTGACTGATTTCACCTCTGCATAGAGACCTAAAGGTATGTGATTGCATAGAGACCTAAAGGTATGTGATTCCCTACCTGGTTCCTCAAACACCTCAGGAGCTGGGGGCCTTGGAGCATCTTGCTTTGCAGTTGCAAGAACTTGGCACTTGATACTTCTCATCATCTCCAGCCTTGAATTCTCCTTCTCTTCTGAACTCTCAAATTCTGTAAACCTAAGGATGAGGGAGGGCAGGACCCATCCAAGAGATTACTAAAGATGAACATGTGTGCAGGGTCTTGGGATGATCTGGTACAGTCCCATGAATTTGCGGATCTTGGAACATAACCACAGCTCTGGAGGCACACTATATAACTTGGTATTTGTGGGAATCAAAATGTTTGATATGGCCCAAGCAGGGCTTTCATGTGACTCTTACTTAAGGCCTATCTTGACCTTGCCTAGAGCCACACAGAAGCCTAGATGGCCACTGATATGACTGATGAATTACATCAGGCATCTTGAACCAGATCCATAGATGCTGAATCTGTGGGTAGGAGAGCTGGAATGACCAGGGAGACAAGGGCCCAGGAGATGCCAGGAGAAAGTAGAAGGGAAACTGAGAGGTGTGGCTGCTTCCCTCTGAGAGATGTTTGTTGGCTTGTGTGCATGACAGTATCACACTGAGCAAAGAAATGTCCTCAGATGTGTAAGAGGCTTCCTTACTCTCTGCATGCTTCTGTTCACAACCACTCCAGGTACATGAGGATATGCCTGAGGGTACCCTATTGGGATGCAGTAGTCTCTACTGTCAAAAAGCAGTGGCTCAGTACCAGGTAGTAAACTTAAGACTTGTGGAGCATGTTTGCATTGTACAATCCACAGTGCTGGAGGAGACCTGACAGGGCTGCAATGGGTCAGTTTTTCAACTCTGACCTTCAAAAGAAAGGCATAGGATAGATTCATGGCCAGTGAGGTCAGAAATGCTGGGACCATGGGTCACAAAGCCCAGCACTCAAAGAAGTGAGAAGAGGATTGTGGATCTCATGGATTACCACCAGGGGCCCAAGTATTGGGTAATCCTACTGGAAGTGTGTAGGTGACAAACTCCCCAGACCAAGCTCCAACTGAGGAGTACCCACAACATATACCCTTCTCCAGAATCCTGACTACAGGCCCACCCATGTTAAACATGCCCTGCTTCAAAATAACCTTGACTCACTTTTCAGCCATCTCAAAGAAGATCATCCGGTCATAGTTGCTTGTATACTGCCATTCCTGCAGACCCCTCCACAGGCACTCCTCCACTTTCATGGTGGGCTTCCTTTGGGCCAGGGACCGAAGCACTGGACTGTAATTCATTAGAACCACTCAACCCAGTGATCTTGACCCGGGAGACCAAGCCCAAGATGCATCTATTACCTTGAGTCAGAAAAAAGTCAGCTTCTAGGAACTCCTAACCATGGAGCAGACATCAACACAAAGATCTATGTCTATTTCCCAGCCTGCCATTTGAGTCTCCTTCTATCACTGTGTGTGGAATAATGCATGGGGCTTAGGTTCCCAACATGGAAGTGGGCATGACAAAATTAAAGTGAAAGTCATTAGAAATGGGGCCTTGGAACTGCAGCATAAGTGGTCAACAATAACTGGAATGGTTTAATGATGCATTTACTTACATGTGCAATGGACAGAAGCCATAGTATGTTACTGTGTGGCAGCTGAAGTAAAAATACTTTTAGCTAAAGAGAGACTTTTGCCTTCTGCCTAAGTCCAGGAAGATATATGTTGATGTCATGGTGGGTGTGTTTGGTTTAGAATTTGAAAATGTAATAGATTGCAACAGTCAGGCATCACTGACTGTATCCAACTTTGTCGTCTTGACTGAGAGTATATAAAGTCATTGGCTGCAAACAATGTGGATGGACAGGAGCTGAGAAGTCAGGTGAATTACACAGCCATGCCATGGAGAGAATTCAGATCTGGTAAAAAGTGCTTTCAGAAAAGTCTTCACAAACAAAAGGAATCCCTGGAATATGGTTGGTACATAAGGTGACAAAAGTGTGTACAAAAAAAAAACCATCTTGGGTAGTCTTTTCCCATGGATCTCCCCAAATTACCAAAATTTATGCAGTTTTTAAATAGGCTCATTACTTGATGAGGGATGCTGGAATTGGGGTATCAAAGGAAATTCCACAAATAAAATTATAACTTTTCACATGTGCAGAGTAAGCAGTTTATTCTTGTTTCTTGTTGCATGGAGGCATTGTAAATATGTTTGTTTGTTAGTATTGCTGCCATTTAGTGTCCAATGTGTTTGTCTGTGTGTGTGTGTGTGTGTGTGTGTGTGTGTGTGTGTGTGTGTGTGTGTATTTTTATTTCTCTGTTGTATGTCTTTGTGCATTGTAATTCTTATTCCCTCACGTAATTTCTCCCCCATATATACACCTATGTTCCAGTGTCTCTAATGATACAAGGATGAAGAAAAACTTATTTTTTCGTCAGCAAAAAGAAATTGATATAAGGCAGAGGCTAGAGAATGATATTGTCTCCATTCTGGAAATATGAAAATTGGAGCATAGGAAATATGTTTAAATACTCATCAATATACTTGAATGGCAAAATCATGCTTTCACTTTTTTGTGCAGGTTATTATAGCCATGTAGTTGTTTGGTAGGATAATTGAAAATAATTATAACTCAAAAAAGAGGATTCTAGTGGCTGGAGAGATGGCTTAGAGGATAAGAACACTGACTGCTCTTCCAGAGATCATGAGTTCAATTCCCAGCAACCACATGGTGGCTCGCAACCATCCGTTTTGAGACCTGGTGCCCTCTTCTGGTGTGCAGATATACATGGAAGCAGAATGTCATATACATAATAAGTAAATAAAATCTTTTTAAAAAGAGGATTCTAATTTGGGAAGAACATCAATGAGGATATAATGTCAGTTCATGAGTGGGTGGGGTTGTATTAGCATGTGGGATGTGTACTAGAATGAGACAGAATATCACATCATAAATTTTGCCTGGCAAACCTGGTGATATACTCTATTCCCATATTATGTGCCGAGGAAGCACAGAGCAGCTGAAATGCAGTGTTATCATTGGATAGCTTACCAACCCAAGATAATTGTCCCATTCATCTTTTAATGACAGTGTACTTGGAAATTGATTCTCCTAACCAGGACATGGCCAAATCCCTGAAAGTTGGATTGCAGTTATTAATACTAACCAATTCAATGTTACCTGTTAACTGGGAAGATAATCTGTGGAAAACCAGTTCAAAGA